AAAAATCACATAGTTCTCTACTAACCGTGCGCACAATTCTTGTCGCACCGTTGCTGTAAATTTATTGGCTAAACAAAGTGCAGTTGTGGTACCAAAGACCAGATTATACAAAAGCACAATCTGAAAATTTCCCAACCATTCGATAGCACCAAAATCGCCAAGCAAATCAAAGTTGGTAATGCCTATGAAAAAAAAAAATAAAAAAACATTGATATCAGCAGAACTATAAATATTACACCTAAACTTACCAATTATTCTACTGAGCAGTGGCAAGGCTGAACTTAATATCAACACTAACGCGCAATTGAGTATCAATTGAGATAGTGAAGTTCTACGTTTCTGTGGACGCACATGGCGCATAAATGGCATCGTATAAAAGCCCACAGCAGAGGTTGCGCCTAAGTATAATATTAGGAAAACCTCTAAGCCAGCACCAAAGGGTCCAAGTTTGGACAATGAACTTATGCCTAGTGTAAATTGCTGCAAAAAAAAGGTAAAAATAAGATATATCCGATTTTTAACAACGAAAGCAATAGAATAATGCTTACCCTCGTACTTAATGGCAGCGCTTTGATACCAATAAGTAACTCGAGTGTGTTCTGCACAACAAGCAAAATAGTAACGCCTGTTAGGAATAACAACAGTAACATTGCAAAAGGATATACAAAATTACGTTGAAATGCTGAAGATTTACGCAATTTATCCAGTTCTTTGCGTTCAGACTCCAATTCTCTCAGTCTTTCATTGAGTGCGGCTTCTTCGTCGTTTAGTTCGCCGTTCATTGGTTTTCGTTGATATAATGTTTTTATAGATGGATGATAATAACTACTGTTAAATTCATGCGGCGAGCTAGTATCAATGTTGTAACTTCCATGACTTTCGTTTCTATTATTGCTATTATTTATTAAATGACTACTATTGAAATTGCTGTCGTTGAAACTGCTATTGCTCAATTGACTAGTATTTAATCCATTATAACTGAATCCATTTAGTCTTCCGATTTTACTTTTATTTTCCATTTCTCGTTTAGTCAGCTTACGTCTAACACTAGCCTCTTCCACATGAAAAATGTAATATTTGTCATTGACTTCTCGCAACAGATGAGGTTTAACAAGTACTTGACCCACAACGCCAAACAAGCGCACAAAGCCGAATGGAGTGCAGACTGTAAAATATATAGTTTTTCAAATAAAATAATATATTTTTAAATGTTTTTATATATATTTAGCTTATAGCTCTAACGATTTTGCCGTTTGCTGATAATTGTTATTATAACTTACATACACAGCAGACTCTTCAAATAACAATAGCTGCATATATGGTAAAATACATCATATCTTTTATTTTAGCGAGAGTCTACTGTATATGTGTTATATTGGAACTGAGGAAGTATTTAACATATTTATACTACACAAATCATTATTAAGGAACTTAAGAACCACCAACAGAAACAACGGAATTCGTAATCCTGTTGTAAACCTAGAAGTAACACATACACAAGGTGGGCTTGAATGCGAGTGAGCTGTAAAAGTAGAAAACAGAATAGAATAAAGAAAAGTAGAGAAGAAAAAATGATATTCTTAAACTAAACTCAGATTCAGATTGACGACTGGGTGAAGCGAATTCAGAAAATAACTAATTAATAATTAATTACATAATTGCTACAATTGTTGTAGTTGGGGTCACATTTCTCCATTGGGATAGAATAATTACGAACACAACTAGAGTTAATTACTTATGATTAAAAATCGTAGACGGGAGTATTACGATCTCACTTAGTCTAGCTATTGATTGAATGTGGCTGTATGCATCTTATCCACCACGACGGTCAAAGTAATTTTGTAAACATTTTAATAGTTCTCAATCTGTTCTACTACAAACTGCAATCCAGTCTCAATAGATTTTCCTCTATATTCATGTTCTATATTCAGATATATTGTTCCACTAATTATCGTTTAAGTTAATTTCATATAAGCTTAACGAGGTATAACAGGGTTATTTGAACTCACTATATAGTATTTATGACGTTTCAATACAGTCAAATGGCAAGAAATAAAAAAGAATACAAATAAGTTATTACTGCAATGGACACAACATCAATGATGCTGAGTATGCACAAAGATTAACCCACTCTAGTTGCTACAGGCATTCATCAGATATTTGCAGCGATTAAATACGTCTTTTTCGTGCAAAAACAACTAAATTACCTAACTAAGTCGCCAATTAATTTTCCAACCCAACTCAGTTCACTTGACATACTGCTTCACCTCATTGAGATTTTAAGCTTTCTCGACTTAAGTTAGTGTTAATATACTGCCAACTTTCTTCTTTTCCCACAACTTATATCTTGCATATTTCTTTAACCATTTTTCATTCATTACCAATTCATCTCAAGTGTTTGTCTTGTAATCCTTTAATTTTTATTCTTTCAAGACTCTCATATGGGATATAAAACAATAATAGTACCTTTTATTATAATCAAAATATGATAACCTGAATCGAGTATATAGATAGATTGTTGACATCGACGAAGCCGATGTCTTTTAAGCAGTTAGCTAACCTAACGCGAACGCTGACTCTAAGCTTTGACAGGGTACGAGTTCAACCCTTGATAGTTGCAGTCTCAAAAACTTATTTATGATTAATTAAATAAAAGAAATAATTCCTGACCACTGATGATGGGTATTTATTAATACTCGAAACTGCTGTATGGTCAGCCAAAAATTAAATTAATTAAAAATAATAAAAAAGAATTTTTATTGTTGTTGTTCACTACATTTCGAAACCTCTCTATCGAATACAATAGTCTCTATTAAGTAAAATAGTCACTATCGTCGTAACTGACGGTACAATTTAGAGCCATGTTTTGCAGAGTGTCTCGGGCACGGCATGAGAGAGTGAGAAATTGAGAGTGAGAGAAAAAGCAATATGTCGGTTCAAATGTCGGCATGAGTGCGAGGCTATATGTGCCTCAGCACCTAGGCAAAGCAGTGTTGTTAGTAATTAATGTCAGAATTTGCGTCTTTTATGAGCAAATTACTACAATTTTAACACTTTTTAAGGAAAAAATGTCAGGAAGCAACATAGCCTATTTTATAAACTGTTAATAATCTAAGTATTACATCTTCCGATTTTAAGAAAAGGCATATAATTTTGTAAGTACTGTCAACAATTATTATAAGATAATAGGTCTGTTTCACGAGCTACTTGTAGTAACTTTAAGTAACAGTGTGTATAGGTACATAGGTGCGTCCCATCAGCAAATTTTCGTGTAAATTTTACTTATGTTTTGATATAATATATATATAATAATATATTAACATTATTACAGCCTCTATGAGTTTTTTCTCTCTGGTTATTTTTGGTGGCATATTGAAAGTGACATTTCGTTTTAAATTTAGGCGCAACCACAAAGTACCAAAACATTGTAAAAATACGAAATTGGCAATACTGATGTGACAGTCTACATAACATGCATTTTCGGCATAGCCCCATAGAGCCAATTTTGCAGTGCCCAAAACAGTCTACATAACATAGCCCTTAGTTTTATTGTGAAATATTCGAAGTAAAAATCTTATCCAAATAAAAAAAAATTTGAACATGTCAAATGTTTATGCCTGGTGATCATGGCAACAGTGTTTAACATTGTCATAGTAATCAACGATAATAAATATTAAAACTGATTTTATAGAAATTTTAAGAATTTGATAAATATATAGATTGAAAAATTAACTTAAAAAAAAAAATTTATTTTGCATTGTAAACTAAATAAATAATTGCAAAAATGAATAATCAAATGAATGAAGATTTTCTCGAGTTCGAATCCAAAGTCAATCAAGTTGTCAAACTACTGGATGATATGAGCAGCATTGGAAAATCAGATGCGGATGCTCCAGTAAAGACAGAGATGTAAATAAAAAAAATTAAGTTTATTGAAAAATCTGTTTAAAATAACCTTATTTCTTTATTTACATTAGTCTTTTTCCTGATGACATCACTGAGGACAACCTAATAGTTCAAGTTAAAGAGGATCGCACTGTAATTAATAAGAAAGTCTTTCCTTTGAAACCAAAACCCAACTTAGTGCCAACCCAACTCGATAAATTTACATTTATGCAACAAATCGAACAAGATGCGGATCAGCGTGCTGCAGCTCGTCAAGAACGTGAACGTATAGCTCAAACTTTCCGAAAGTAAGTTTTTATGTAAACTACGAGTTGTAATCAAGAGCAAACGAGAATCTTGAATTTTAACAAATTGCATTAATTTCTTTAATTCATACAAAACAGCTCGTCTTTTAATACCCTCCTTTAATGTTTAGCCATCGTAGTTTCCAACTTGTGGAAACACTGTTGAAACGCTTGTTTAGTCATCTGGTCATCTTTAGTTCAAGGCATCTGTTATTGTTTAAAAATATTAACCCATTTATTTGAAAAATATAAAAAATTCACAGGGTCCCAAGTCTAAAAATTGGAATTGTTGTGACAATATTCAATGTTATTTAATGAAATGTTAGGTTATTCCGGCGATCCCTAGGTGATCCATTTAGGCAAATTGGCCCATTGTGTTATAATGAAATGTTGGATAAGCAACACATTTTGCTGCTACTAGTTTTATGCCCTAAATATTTGTAAAAATCACTTCGTATGTGTAATTTGACATAATTATTTCTTTAGCAGCCCCTCAAATGGTTATTTATGACCTTTAGTCATATTCAGTGACTTCTTGACCCTCCTGCAAGCGTTTTTCACGTTTTTGAACCACAATTTTACGATAATTTTTTGTTCCAACATTTAGTCACAGAAAAACGTGCAGCCACACTAGCGTTCAGTCGCTTGAAGAACAGACTTATTCGGACCTGCACGTTCGTACGTCTATGTTATTGTAAATGCATCCAATTCAAAACAAAACTAGATTAGATAAAGAAGATACGATGGATGGAATTTAGATATTCTCGTTTCTAATTGACCACACCCAGTAAACAAAAAATACAAATTCTTGTCTTTTTTAGACTAGGGAATGAAGCATTTCGTAAGCCAAACTATGAGAAAGCTATTACTATGTATACTCAAGCCATTGATCACGTCAAGGACAGTCCAATTTTATATAATAATAGAGCATTAGCTTACATTAAGTAAGTGTTTGATAAAATTAAATCTAATATATATACTATTTTTTTTATTATGTATTCAATTAAATTTTATAATTATTTAAATTAAATCAAACCAACACTCCTTATTTGAATTTTTTATGTTATTTTAGGCTTAAGAACTTTAAACGTGCTGTGATTGATTGCAATTTCGTTTTAAACAAATTGGAGGAACGAAATATTCGGTCCTGGCTTTATGGTGCAGCCGCATATAAGCGTTTGGGGGATGAATTGAATTTTGAAAACTACGTAAAGTTCGCCAAAAAGCATAACTCTAAACAGCATGAATACATTGACGGATTTGTTGAAAAAATTAAAATGGGACAGTTTTAAATAATTTATTTTTACAAACATTTTTACAGATTTTTTCAATTATATATTAAAACAGTATGTATACGCAGTATGTTTCCATAATATTTAAGATTATTTGAATTCCAAAATGAAATTAATTTTTTAGACATACCAAATTCAAATATTTTTGACAATAAATTTATTGCGAAATTAAAAATAGTTTAGAAATGTTAAATGGAAGCTGATATGAGATTGTAAGAAAATTTTACAAATATGCTGTAGTTTTAACGACATCACGATTTCATTGTTATTTGATTTCTAATAGATAATCTCTTAATTTATGTAAAGAAATTTATTATATGTATTAATTATTTTAAATTAATCCGTGTTAGTTTTTATCTATGTAAGAATGGCCTCGTCCTTTGTTACAATACTGATACAGTGCTCACAGTTTTTTCCAACTATTTTCTAATCGTTAGCTCAATTAGTTCAAACTTATTGTTCCAATAGATTATCCCTAGTTAAAATCGTATAATATATTCGGTTTAAGCTAATAAAACTGACAGTCATAAACACATTAGTCGGACAACCAAGCAGCTCTGAAATTTTTAACAAACTCTTCATTCCAATCAAAGTTGGTCTAGCAATGCTCTCAACTTGTCAATACTCTAGCATCGAGGAACTATGTTACTCTTATGTGGGTACCGGGACATGAGTGGCATGAGGGCAATGAAATGGCAGAAAAAAAAAGGAAAAAAGGATGCATGTACTTCTTTCATTGGTCCATAGCCTTTCTGTGGGGTAACAAATAGCTACACAAATAACTAAATATGTGAACGGAAGAAACAAAGTCTATTTGAATACTGGAAAACCTACACAGGCATGCGACAGTCAAGAAGTTTCATTGCTTGTGAACAACTCAGGATCAGGAGTTGACACTATCCTTAACATTAGCAGAAACGATTTTAAATTCTACACTGAACTACTTACAGGGCACTGCAGACTTAATTATCACATGAAAAATATAGATTCGGTAGAAAATGATTCCTGTCGACTCTGTCATGAAAAGAGGAAAACATGAAAACATGTTCTATGCAACTGCTCAGCGGTAGCTAGACGTAGACTTGAATACCTTGGGATCTTGGTGTCAAATCAAGTAGGTAAAATTAAGCCCACAGCAATTAGGAGATATATAAATAGTGTAGAATTGTTTTAATTGGGTTTTTAAGTGCACAATAGATCTTTTACGTCGGGGTGCATTCATAGCCTATTATTTAATAATTGTAATTGCAAAGCACACTAATTAATATATTGTTATAAAACTTAGCGCCATAATATACTACTAATTTACTATGAAATTCAAAAATCCATTTGCATAGAATTTTTACTTTTGTTAAAGATTTTTTAGAAGACTCCCTTTCACAACCTTAAATTTATAAGTCCTAAATTTGCAATAACCACCCTTTATACTGTCTTTTTCTTGAGTAACTTCAGAACTGCGTATGAACTGTTTCATTCTAATAAAATATTCTTAACACCTATCTTACTTTATATATGGTATATGTTATTTTTGATGAAGTATAACTCAACACATGAAAGTTACTAACTACAAACAATGTATATACTCACCCAACAATAACAGCACTCCCAGAAATGATACGCAAGAATATAGAAATGGCAAATGTACGCTGCCCAAATCTGTGAAGCAGAACGGGAAAAATAAAATAAGTAAAAGTTTGCAATCTAAATTAGACGAAAATAAATTCATTTCCTGTTTTAAATTAATTTCATAGGAAAGTTCATTTATTATTAAATCAAATAATGTTGGTTTTTTACATTCATTTGCATTCATTTGAGTGCAGTAAGAACATAACAACTTACTAAGAACAGATAAAAATCCAATTCTTTTCGGATCAATAACAGCGGAAAGTACATAAGCTAAAGCTAGTACCACGCTAGCTAGCAAGCTGAACACAGTAAACGTTTCATAGACACGTGAAATGATGCCCTTTTTATGCCCAAAAAATCCAGTCGATTCGGTGAACAAGTAAGCGAATGGCAAGAACACAAATAGCGACAAATTCGAAAACAAAAATATGTGATTCCACAAGCCTGTGAGAAATGAAAATTTAAATAAAAATTGGCTTAAAATTTGTATAATTTAAAAAATTACCCTGAATTAATGAACTATTTAACCACTTCACATAGTAACTATTCGGATACAATAATAAAACTTCATTACTGGCAATGGAGACTGGCAGTAGTAGGGCGGCGCCTACAGCAATCGCCATCGAAAAAGTGCACAACCAAGAGCTAAAGAAAAATCAATAAAAATAATAATAATAATTAATGTGACAAAAAGCCAAATTAACACTTACCTTATGCGATATACCAATACTTCATCTTCATCATTAGAAAATAGATCATCACGATCTTTTCTCCGAAAGCGTGATACTACTGCATATGAAGCCAAGTAGAGAGACATTAATAATAACAGAAATATCTGAAAAATCGAAAATATGAAATCCATTAATATCAACATTTATTCCAAAGGAAAGTTTAAGCATTTTTATTACAAAGATACATAAAAGACTGCACAAGTGGAAATACGAAAGCATTGTATTTAGGCCACTAAAGTGTTCCATAGATTGCATTTGAATTTATTTTTATTTAATTAAAAATGATTTTTTTTTATGAAATAAACGCATTAAAATTTTTTGAATTTTTCCAACAGTTCTTTTGGATGGTGGTTCTATGACATAATGTAGCCATAATGTATCTGTTATCGTGTAGTGTGTAAAGCAATTTAATAAAAGCTTTTTAAATGGAAAAGGCATTGCATTATTTATTTACGTAAACGAAACAAAATGTTTTTTTTTTAATTTCTTAATTCGATTCGATAGATCCGTCGTCATTGGAGCACTTGAGTTAAGCGAAACTTTTATATTTGAAACTCTAGCGAAGGGGTAGATGGTGTAGGATCGATAACACTCGATTACAATTTTAAAATTAATCCATTATATCATTTTATTTATGTTAAGAAATACATAGGTTTATTTATGCATATTTTATATACATTCCAAGATAAAGTTTTAAGAAAACTGTCAGAATATAGAGATCTATATATATAGCATAGAATAACGAACGTTAAATAGACGTCTGTCGTATGCAATCTAGACTATTGTTATTAAATCAAAATGATAAAAAAAGCAAGATTTTTAAATATAGTGCCAGATATGTTAAGGGAAAGATTGATGAGAGGATTATATTAAGGTTTATTTAGTTTAAAATATTGAGACTAAATGAAATAAAGAAACAGAAACAAATAACTCTGGAAGAATTCGAACAGTAATGAAGTCCTCTACCTTAAAAATAATTTTGTATTATTCCGATAACACAGTTTTTTCAATAAAGCAGTTACTGGATGAATAAGTGAATGCCAAATCATTCAAAATGTATGTTGATCCTTTTTTCGAATCAGCGCAACTGGGTACTTTTACTCTTTGATAGCTGGGGATACTACAGGGTCCCACCCATCTCATTAACTAATTTATGTATTGGCTATAAGCTACATGATTATTCAGTGATTGATCTAAGATCGGCGTACCTCCCCGTGCGGAGAGTGATTACTCTAAGATTAGATAGTGGTAAGTATGATAGCCTACCAATTTTCGCATATAACTTCAGGGCTCTGTCCCTTATGTAATTCGTGCATTTTACCACAGCTATAGATCAAAGATTGTAGATTGTATAGATCAGAATTTCTTAACCGACCATACATATATTTAGAAGCACCGGTTTATAAAATACTTTCACCTTTAGCAACATTTAAAAAATTAAAGAACTATTTAACATTTTATCATTAGATATATCTAAAGTACAACGTATGTTAATGTTCCGATAAATATATAATATTATATATAGGCACGAACAAAATGATTTTTTATTTTTTGAGAAAATATTAAAACCGGATCCTAAAAATATATTGAGTATGTTACCAGCACTTGTAAAACATAAGGAATATTTCCCTGGTCCGCAAGAACAGCATTGAGAGCAAAACGCTCATGTTGATACACAGCTTTTTACCTTTAAAAATCGGGCCAATTGTTTTTGTTTCTGCCAATTGTCTTGTTGAATTTATTTAATAATGTTGAATAATATATTTCAGTATGTACTGAGGAATTCATCAATAGTTAAAAATCCGGCCAGGCTTTCCTTTAACTATTTTAATAAAAGGATGTTTAACAGATTGCGTTCTTGGTTCAAGATCAGCAAATGAGAGACCACGAATCTTACAAAGAATTCTTATACAATTCTTATATACAAAAATCGATTGAAAAAAACGCCCGAGGCAAAGTTGCAACAGAAGGAAATATAGTTTGCAATTAAAATTGGTAACATCTCCGTTCTTAGCACCATCTTCCAAACATTGAGGTTGCTCAGATACAATGTTCTCTTTCTGAAAGATTTGACTTTTAGTCACATTGTGTAATTTCTTGATTTAACCTGAGGTAGTACAGAGATAATGCGGATAAAATTCTTAATAATGTCTGAGAAAAATGTCTCGCCTGCCTACGTTATCTTTTGAGTCAATATAACACAAAATATCTTTTGTTTAACTCAACTGTATGTCTATGTCATAATTCTTTTATATTACAAGATTAGCTAGTTGTAAGTTTTATTTAATTTTGGCATGAATTCATAATTTCTTAAAATGTTATTTCATTAATCGTATACACTATCGTATACTAGTTTACTAGATGACTCGTATGCTAGATATTTAAAAAACAAATATCTCTTTACTCTTAAAAAGTTTTAGAAAATGTTCCAAAAGAAAATATTTAACTATTTTTTGAAAAAAAAGTAATTTTGCTATTTTCAAAAAAGTTGTCAGTCGTAAAGGTTAAAATCGTAAAAGGGATATAATAGCACAAAAAATAGTAGTAATTCTTTTATACTTAATTCAAAAGACATTCCAATCAATCTTTCGAATTTATGTCATAATATATTTTGTTGAGAAATTTTTAATATCAGACTCAGCTAAAAACTACCGTCAGTAAGTAAGGAATTCCATTATACAATATAATGTAAATATAAATTGCAATAATTTTAGTGCAGTAACTTTAATCAATATAAATATAAATTGAAATTAACTTTCAAAAGTTGTAAATACGTTTGCAAAAAATTAATGAATCTGTTGTACTTTAACCCCTCAGGTGTAGACTTCAGACGTAATAGTACCTAACAATATCTTTATCAATAATTAAAATCAAAATCAATGATTTATTATACGCAGGTTACTTGATAAATCTACAGGCAGAAGTAGTAAAAGAATATATTATTTCTAATTTTTTATTTTTGAGTTTTATACTCGTATGGGTATTTTGCCACTATAGCTTTAGCAAATTAAGGACACAGAGAAATGTTAAATTCGCATTATCATATCATATTATTTTACATATAATACTATATAGAAACTCAATATAGTGACTTAGTAGGAGGTACCGATGGATGTTTAAGGAAGTAATACTTTATAAGTAAAATGATACATTGGAACTTAGGGTAACGAAGTTATAAACGAATAACTCAGAAAAGAAGTTGCACCATTTTTTTAAATTGATTAAGTCATAAATAAAGAAATCTTTCAGGTTCTAAACAGATTATAAGAGTATTCCTAATTTTAGTTTACGATCACAATACATACGAAGTGATAAAACCGGCTTTTAATAATCAGCAGTAATAAATGAAAAATTTTATGCGACTTCTTATGATGCATTGCAAATTTGAATGATCTATAAACAAACACAGATAAGACAAAAATTCAAATTCAAGCATGGGTGTTTGCCAGGTTTTTTCAAAGGAATATAGTAAAAAATAAAACTCTGTAATATTTATTTTGTTATAAGCTTAAATTGGTTGCAACCCCACTTTACTTCTGTTATATATTATATTCTATTAAGGAAAATAAAAGTATTTTATCTAAGAAAGGAATGAAATGGAGTAGAATGTATGGAAAGTTTATTCATAAGGAAGCCAAAATGTGATTCCACATTGCTAGACTGATCAAAAAATATTTTAAATAACTGAATTAGAAAGTCCTATCCTACTAATTATATTTAACAGGCATTGTGCCTATTGAATCGACTATTTGGACTACCGATCTTATCTAATTAGAGATTGATTAATTCTTTTAAAGATACTACCCAAGGATACCGCCTGAAAGAGAGGTAAAGTTTGAAAAATAAATTTAAAATAATATAAATTAATTTTACTTCTCTTAGGTTTTAACAAATAAAGAATTAAAACAGTAGTTATCAATATATAATAATAAAGACTCTAGTGATGGATTTTCTTAATGGACCATAAATACTCAACAAATCTTAACTTTTATAGTAGACATTTTTCGAGCAGTAGACATTTTTCATGTTTAAAAAAATATAGAATGTATTTCGTCAACAATATCATAATCACCAAAATGATAAGTACTCACCCTCTTTCTTGGCTTGGACTACAGTTTGGTGGTTGTGTAGAATCTGACAAGAAATTTATTGTCACGAATAACACAGACTTGTGACGTTGAGATGATAGCGTAAATGAAAGTAGTATGTTATGTACCTCAACTCTATCCCGATAATGAAACGACCTTCTCATATGCAAATGGAGGAATTATAATAGAGTCTTCATTAACCGGTTAAATAATATGTCATATCAGTAACAATGTTTTTCGATTGTTACCACTTCGTTAATTTAGAGTTTTAATTTTAAGCCATATTTTCGAATTATTGTTCCTTCTAGCTAGACCTTGTATTCATCTAGCACTACTCAATATTAGATCGTTCATTATTGTAGCTACCAATTTGTTTTTATTAATTATAATTTTTAAATAGAAAATAAGTCCAACTGTTTACTTTAAAAAATAAATTACAATTTCTTAAACACAAACCTCGTTTTCATGAATGCTATTGAACCCATAAAAACACACTTTTTTGTAAAAAATTAAACTTCGACAATAAAACGTCATAGAATTGATAATATCATTATAAAAAGTTGAACAATAGTCTATAATAAAATTTGTTAATCAGATAGTCT